ATCTTTTGGAATCATAAAATTTCTAATATTTTATCAGCTCTTTGCGTATACTAGTGGAGGCGTCCTGTCCGATTTCTTTGTTGTCAATTGTAAAACTAACGATGGCTTAATCGGACCATTGTTTAACTAGTTGCATACAATAAAGTCATATAAAAGTCGTTAACTCTAACATTTCTGTTTGCAAATTTTAACTCTACCGTTACTAGTCTCCATAATCTGGACATGTACTAAGCGCTTTTGTTCCATACTTTAAACCTTTTACTTACTTATCCCAAGTGGTTTAGTTTGTCTGTCTAGCTTTTTATCTTTATGTCTATTGGACCGCTAGTCTACGGGGATCTTGCTCAATACTAAATTTAGTTTGGCATTGTCTATATCCTTATCGAGGTAAATCCGACTTAACCCTTCGCACTTACATACACCGGCTTTCGCTTTGTATTTTGACTTCAGGAAACCTTATTTAGCTTAGAGACGGTTTTAAGGCGTGATGTGGCGTCACCTTTTACTCGCTTTGACTCCATATTACTCCCCTAATTCCCTTTCAGAGAGCTCTTTTCTGATTCAGTCAATCGCCATACTTTGTTTTGTCTCTACTGGTCCTTGCTCTGAACGCATGTTTACTAGTCTTAGCCCGCACCATTCTATGGCCTATAGCTTGTATTGCTGCCCACTTTTCCTGTTAGGAAAATCATATATACCCTCCGGTAACCCAACTTGTCCTTTAAAATGGCCCGAACGTGTTTACGTGGTTCTGGGCTTCTTTCCTACTGCTCAAAAGCCGATTGTCAATTATTCCAAGGCTCGATTCGGTCGGTTGGTGAGCTCTGTTGGAAGTGCTTTAGGGGTTTTAATAGATGTTTGCATTGATTTATTTAGAGAAAATACCATTCAATCGTGGTGATTCACCCCAGATTGGCGAACGCTATGTACGTGGAGTCATTAAAATTGACCCAAGTTGAGTCGCTTAGGTTCTCATTCCCCACCGATGTTTACTTTGTGTTCTACCTCCTTACCTCTAGGTCGATGTTCTGCACAAACCTTGTCCGAGAAGCCTATATGCTTCTCATTGTTTGGCCTGTTTAGATCAGATTGGCTATTTAGATACAAAACTAAGTCAGGGGTAGGCACTATCAGGCACT